AGAACTGTCAATGCATTCCAGCCCTCACAGTCCTGCCCAGATCCACCCCATCGTCAACCATCAGGTCCAGCCCGCCCAGTCCACCACTGTTTCTGTTTGCCTCCAACAGTGGAACACCAGCTCTTGCCCTCCACCGTCTACCGAGCACGAGCGGCAGAGCGGCGCTTTTGCTTTGGACGCTTGTGATTAGTAGACTGATTAGGAAGGAAGCAAATCAACACGCCTGATAAAAAACCGGCGATAAAACAGGTGTAAAGCGGTAGGTGGTGTTTTCGAATTCGCAATCTTTTCCTGATCCCCCGCAAGGTTACAAATCCCCTGCCCGTCCTGCTGCGCCCCGCCGCCGCTGGGTACCGAGAGAGGGCCAGCCATAGAAAGGAGATAAGAATAAGAATAAAAAGGGGCAGAGGGAGAGGAAGTGAGGAAAAAAAAAAAAAGGGGCATAAAAAGGTGAGGGCTTTTTCTGATTTGCTTCTCGCACTCGCGCACATCTTTTCCGCCCCACCTCAATCTCCCTGGATTCTCTGGAAGGTTCCTGCTTTTCGAGAGGTGGGTGGGAGAGAAAACCCGCAGCAGCCTGAGCTTCTGAGGAATTCCTGTGTCTTGTTTCCTACGTAGATTTGTGTGTGTGTGTGTGTGTGCGGGTTTCGTTTTCGTGCAGCTTTGCTCTTTATTTTAGTGCGCTGCTGATGTGATGTGCTGGGTTTTCAATACTTGCATCTTTTCGCTGCATTTCTTTAGCGGAAGTTCTTCTAACAAGCGAGCGCTGCTTGCGCGAATCTTTGGAGTGAAGCTCCCATCCCATCAGTCCTCTGCTTGTCCCTGTCTCGCCAATTCTGGGATAAGGTGTTGTTTAGATTATAAATTTTTGTAATCCGGACACTGTAGCACGTTTCGTTTGTATTTGACAAACTTTGTTCGATCATGGATTAACTAGGCTCAAAAGATTCGTCTCGTGATTTACAACCAAACTGTGTAATTAATTATTTTTTTTACCTACACTTAATGCTCCATGCATGTGTCCAAAAATTGATGTGATGGAGAGAGAGTGAAAAAACTTGAAATTTTAATGGGATCTAAACAAGGCCTAAGAAAGAGGAATCTGTGAAGGTCTGTGTCACGAACCTGGACTATCAATCTCTATTAAAGGGTAACTTGATACAATATCCGGAGAATCAGAGAGAGATTAGAATGGGAAGAGCAGGAATTAGGGTAGAAGAGCAAGAACAGCAGGAGATGGTTTCTGGATAGAGACGTCTCGAGGAGGAAGACGAGTTCAGTATTCTGTTCGATGTCCCCTTCGGGTTACAGGCCATGGCATATATCTGCTGACGGCCACACGCGCACACCTACTGGCCAGAGGCCCATGAGCATGCCGAGGCCCAACCCAATAGGCCCAGCATACACACACCTGGGTCATGACATTCCCTCCCGCTTAAGCAGCAGCTTGCCCTCAAGCTGTGATCAACATGAAAGATTTTCTTGATACCCGTAGCCTTATGGGTCTTCAATCATCAGGTTGTAAAACTGAAGCTTGCTGTAGTATGCATGGGGGCATGCCAGAACTGCAATGACTGGAGGAGCATTGCCATCACGGCCAGCATCCCCTTGTGACCAGAAAGCAACATCAAGTTTACTTAGCTGGCATCTTGTTCTCAGCAGCTCGACCGGTGGCATATCATCATCCGCAAACATAGACGCGCCTTTGATATAGAGCTGTTGTCCATGCTGCTGTCGCTGCAACCTCTGTGAATTTCCCAATTTATAATGTTGAAGCAGCTGCTCTTGCTGCTTTATTTAAAGCGCACTGGCATAAGCAGTATTTGTGAGAGGATTGGAATTGTCCTTCACTGAAGAATTGTCCGTCATGTCAAGAAAAATGAAGATCAGATGTTCCAGAATAGTACTGCAGTACTCTGATCCCAGTAAATGAAACTCATTAACCGCCTGTTGATCACCTCGGCAATAGGAAATTTCAGCAAGCACTTGCTCTTGATTACTAGTTTTGCATTGCCATGAGCCAGCAACTTTCCAACATCTCCCTTTAGCTGTACACAGCAACAAGCACCAGATAAGAATTTGCTCCAAGTAGTAACAATTGGTTTGAAAGCCACACCACTCTTGTCTCCACACAAACATTGCTGCCTGATTGATTGTATTTTGAGCCAACATGCCATAGCTTCTGAAAAATGAAGTTCTGTCAACTTGGAGCAACTCATTTCTCATGCCTGTAGGTGGTGGCCTCGGTTTTAGCTCCGAAATACACAGAGAGGGCAATCCTGTAAACTGCAAGTGAACATGTCTTTGCTGCCAAAACTCATGTAGATTCAGAAATGGCTTGATAGTTCCCAGAACTGAGCTCCCTGACCAAGTAGGTGGAGGCCAAGAGATTGTCAACAGCGCAAGCACATCAGACTGCATTTTATCGAATAGCTTGGGCAGCCGCAGCTCCACTTCATCCTTGCACTTGCACAGCACAACAAGCCCCATTGGCAACCTTCTCAGCTCAGCTGGAGTATTAGGATTTGCTCTAGCCTGCAACAGTAACTGCATGAAAAATGGCCTCCATGTATTTGCCACGATCAAACACCTGCTGGCCCATTGACGCCATGGGAGTGACCCATACTGAAAGTTGAGAGTTCCTGAAGGGTTGGAAAATCCCCGAAAAAAATGTTGACTGAACCAAGGGTGGCGGTGTTGTATGAATCAAAAAGCTCCGACTGACCCCTCCTCCAGCTTCACTCGTGCAATGGCAATCTGTCAGTGCAAGGATAGAATATGTTGCTATACCACTGTCAACTATCATCTCACATGGATCTGGTGGCCATGGAAGTGGCAATATATCAAGCCTGTGACCTGCAAGACAGCTGCATATAGGTGGTGGCCCTGGAGGATTCTGCTGCACATCTCCCTTGCTCTCAAACACATTGTGAGTCTCACGAGCATCGATAGCAAAATATGACAGAGCAATGCCACTATCCCATAAATGAATCCCAATTTTCTGTACCAGGCCCCAATGCTGAACTTGACAGTAAGCATACCATGTCCGATCAGGTGGTGGCCAAGGAACTTTGTAGTGTATGTTCATTTGGCAGCACCTAAATAGAAGAACATCCAGTAAAGGACAGTCCATCGAAGTCCAGTTGAACACCCAATGGAGCAGATGTCGACTGACTTGTAGCGGCCATCAGAACGATATGCAAAGGTTTGACCTGCTTGGGAACGTCACTTTGAGTGTAGGCCGGGGCGCAACCACAGTCTGGTCATCGTTGCAGTCATCCTCCTTAGTGGCCACGACCAGACATGGTGAGGACGCGTGCAAGGTCTCCGGCGGGGCTGGTGTTGGCGAACTGCAGCGCCGTGAACCCCGCCGCTTGGGAGTGACGCTGACACGGGCCTGAAGGTGGTGCCAGATGCGAAGTTGAAGAAGACGGCGGCGGCGGCGACGACGACAATTCCCGTGACGTAGAGCGGGCCTTCGTGGCTGAGGCCGCATGCCCAGCTCCTGGACCTGAAGGCGTGAACAGCCTTGCTCCGCGGTGTCGTCGGTGCCTTCTTCCTCTCGCTCGGACATTCGACCCCTGCAGCCTTGTACGGATTGGAAACACGCTGGTACGGCGTGCCCGGGTGGAAAGCGAGGCCTCCTGGCCGACGGCGAGGGAGAGGAGCACCCGAACAGACTTCTTGGCGATCTTCTTCTTCGCGGTGAGGTAATCCGGTGTTGGAAGCAGGAAGAAGATGGCTGCGGCGGCGCGTGGAGGCGACAACGCTACCGCGGAAGCGGCTGCGGTGGACGGTACGGCTCGTGTCGGGGCCGCCGGTGGAGTCGGTGAAGCGGACGCAGCGGAGGTGAATCCGGCGGGTACGCCAAAGAGGAGCACGGGCGCGGCCGAGGACGCCGCAGCGCCGGACGGCCTTGAATGAGGTTGAGGTCGCCGATGGAGTGGGTGAAGCGGAGGGCGCCGGCGGCGAATCGGTGACAATGCGAGGCGCGACCCATTGCGGCCAGCTTCTCCTCCTCAGACGCCTCAACTCTGCCATCCTCTGAGAAAGGGAGGCGATGCTGGCAGCGAGGCAATCGGCGGCGGCGGAAGGTGGTGTGGACGCTGATGAAAGCTTGGAGCTCAAACGATTTGGGGGGGAAAAATGAGGGTTCCCCAAATCAAAAGGCTCTGATACCAATTGTCACGAACCTGGACTATCAATCTCTATTAAAGGGTAACTTAGAGAGAGATTAGAATGGGAAGAGCAGGAATTAGGGTAGAAGAGCAGGAACAGCAGGAGATGGTTTCTGGATAGAGACGTCTCGAGGAGGAAGACGAGTTCAATATTCTGTTCGATGCCCCCTTCGGTTACAGGCCATGACATATATCTGCCGACGGCCACACGCGCACACCTACTGGCCAGAGGCCCATGAGCATGCCGAGGCCCAACCCAATAGGCCCAGCATACACACACCTGGGTCATGACAGTCTGATCTTTGATTCCCCAAGATTCTGAATCATTTTTGCGTCCATGGAGTCTCTTGCTGCGTGCCACTCCATCTGAGAGTCCAGTCTAGCGCGAGACGCTAGAAGCAGCAAAGGTGAGGTGAAGTCTTGTGTTCTCTTTGCTAAGCAATCTCCAGAAAATGTTGCCGATTTCCGTTTTCCCCCTTTCTGAATGTTCGATGAGGAAGAAAAGGTGGCGAACTTTGAGTGCTGCTCTGCCCATCGGTTTCTTTGCTGCTTTCTCCTCCTCGTGAATCGTTTGAAAGTGCTATTACATCTTTTTAATTCCCTTAACTACGCCACCTCAAATCCGAGTAATTAATAGTAGGAAGCTTCCAGGAAAGAGGTGGAGCATTTTAGGTTTATAATTCGATTCCTCTTTCTCCTGTTGCAGTCAGTCAGGTCGGAGAAGCGGAAGTTCGCCTTGCGTTGCTGATTCAATGGGAGAGACGAACGAGCCGCCGCCGCCGCCGGTCGCCGCGCCGCCGCCTATGCTGCCGATGCGCCATGATGGTTCCGCCCGTCGGCGCGGGCGCCATCCACCCGCCCCACGAGCAGTTCCACCATCTCAACTACTGCGTCCACTCGAATCCGTCCTGGGGTAAGGGCATGAGCAGAGGCACCCTGATATGCTTTCTTTTGGTGTACTAGACTAGAGTCAGGGAGCTCAGTGCTTCTGTGTGTATATATGGGTAATGTTTGCTCTGTTCTTGTAAATGGTGCTTCTTGTTATTCCCATTTCATATTTGGATATAGAGTTCGGAAGCTCAATGCTGTTATTATGAGTATATATAGGTAACGTTTGCTCTGTTTGTTGTAAATGGCGTTTCTTATCATCCCCTGACATATCTGGATAGTAATTTTGACTATGTCGGTTCAAAGATTTGACGTTTTGTTGCCGGTTAGATGTTATCTGCACAATGCTATTGGCATGCTAAATGGATTTTGAATGGCAGATTTCCGTTACTTGTGTCATGTCCGTATTATACTCGACATGCTAATAAATGTTTCCGTTCTCTTACTTTTGTTTGCCACCGCCTTAATCTAGGTGAAAGGATCAAGATGCCCAAGAGGGGGGGGGGGGTGAATTGGGCTAATTCTAAATTTTCTTGCAATAATCAAATCCTACGGATAGCCCAATTAATCCCTTGTGCCTAGAAAAGTGTTTATATCAAACTAATGCACAACAACCTCGCAACCTATGTTCCAAACTTACTCTAGCAAGCAATTCTATGGATGTGAAACAAGTATTGAATTGCTCAAAGTAAATACTCAAAGTAAGTGCTCAAAGTAAATAGAGAGAGAAAGGAACGCGACGATGTTTTGCCGAGGTATCGGAGAGTCGCCACTCCCCACTAGTCCTCGTTGGAGCACCGGCAGCAAGAAGGGTGTAGCTCCCCTTGATCCGCGCAAGGATCAAGTGCTCTCTGACGGGTTGATTCTTCGACACTCCGTCGCGGCGAATCACCCAAAACCGCTCACAACTTGAGTTGGGTCACCCACAAGCTCACCGGTGATCACCAAGCTCCCAATCACCACCAAGCCGTCTAGGTGATGGCGATCACCAAGAGTAACAAGCACGAACTCTCACTTGACCACGCCGAAGCCTAATGAGAAGATGGATGCACACTTGTCTACTCTTGATTCACTAATGAGGTTTCACTCTTGGATTCTCAAATCACAAACACCTCACTAGGACCTTGCTCTTCTTGGCACTCACAAACGTGTTTCTCAGCTGTTGGAATAAGCAAAAGTAACTCCACTCACGAATGGAGCAACTATTTATAAGGCACCCTGAAAAAACGAACCGTTATGAGCTTCTGCGGGGTGACCGGATGCTCGATCGTTTTGACCGGACGCTCGGTCCAGTTCAACTCTAACAGTTTTCACGTGATGACCGGACGCTGTCAGGGTCCGGTCGGTACCAACTGGACGCGTCCGGTCGCTCTTGGATGCTTACTGTAAACGACCGGATGCTGGATACTCAAGGTCCGGTCACTACTGACCAGACGCGTCCGGTCACACTTTCTCAAGTCTGAACCCTTCTTTGAGTCGACCGGACGCTGGCCTTCAGCGTCCGGTCACACGACTTCTTCCAGCGTTCAGTCACTCGCACTTGTTCTCCTCGGTCAAATGAATCGACCGGACCTGCGGCCCCATCGTCCGGTCCGCACTTGACCGTAGCTGTCCCGATCAAGATTTGACCCTCCATTCACTTCCAACTTTCGATCATATGTGAATGAAGTTAGCTCCAAAGGATCTTAGGCATTCATAGGAGCTACCTAGAGCTAGTTTTAACAAGTGTGCACCACACCTAACTCACTAGACTCAACTAGGTCAAGCTACCCGTTCATACCCCCCTTCATAGTACGGCCAAAGGAAAAACAAAGTCCTAAACTACTCTAAGTGTCTCTCCAACTTCAATTGACACTTAGAACTAGTTATCCTTAACCTTGTCGTCCATCCTTTGAAAACCGAAACGATTTCCATCGTAGGGGCATGACAACCTCAATTGCCCAATCGATCTCCATTACCATGACCTAACTTAATTGCCTCTGCAAAACACACGTTAGTCATAGTAATCTTGTATTGACATTAATCACCGAAATCCACTTAGGGGCCTAGATGCTTTCAATCTCTCCCTTTTTGGTGATTGATGACAATACCACCTCGAGTATGTTAAAGAGTGAGGTTTTTGAAGGGCTTGGTTCATATAAGCTTTTGTCGTTAAGAACAAAAGAGTTAGGCAAGCTTATGTGACCCAAGCCAACACAGTGTACTCAAAGGATATGAATTAAGCATGAGTACAAGTAACAAAGCTCATTTGCTTCGAAGTATAAACGCGGAAGCAAAAACAAATGAGCATAACACAAGTGATATGACATATAGATAATGCAAAGTAGAAATCACACCTGTCAAATATCACAATCACGTAGATAGCACTATCACATATATATAATAGTATGCATTAAAGTAAACACACGAATGCATAAGTAATAGTGTATCACACAAATTAAACTCCAAATGTATATAATAAGCTAATACTATATAACTAGCTCCCCCTAAATGTAGCTCCCCCTGAGACTACATACTCGAACACCCTCTCCCCCTTTGGCGTCAAACACCAAAACCTAGGGTGGGGCTGCAGCGGACGAGTCGGGTGCTGAAGAACGTGGGGCAAGCTGGAACCGGGCACCATCATCATCTGACCCTGAGCTCTGAATAGACTGACCCTCTATGGCAGGAAGTGTCGCTGAAGCGGTCTGGGTCTGAGCTGGGGCTGGGGCTACCTGTGAAGCTGCAAGTATGTCTGTCGTAGGATCGGACGAGGCGACAGACGAGGGGAGCCTCTGAGTAGTCGCTGCGACTGGAGCTGCTGTAGACGGACCGGCGGTATGCATATGAGGCGGAGTAGGCATGCCGGTCAACTCGCTGAAGGATGCTCCAAGACTCCTGGAGACTGACGTCTCAGGTACGAATAGCGAGGAAGACTGCTCTGGTGTGAAGCCCGTCTGAAGTGGAGTGAACTGCGGGGCTACCACGGGTGAGGCTAACCACTGGGACACCTGTATAGGCGGTGAAGCAAACTGAGCTGGAGGCTGTCCCTGACTCTGGAGCCCACTGGGCTGTACTGCTGGAGTCGTCGAAGTGGTAGGAGGCTGTGCAAGCTGGGGCGAAGGCTGTGGCAGTGGAACCCCAATGGCTGTCACTACATGCTGCATGAATCCCATGAGCTGCTGCTGCATAAGTAACTGCTGGTGCTGAAGGAGCTGCTGCTGCCGCTGGAACTCGTCCTGACGAGCCTGAAACTGTGCGAAGTTGGCAGCTGTCTCCTGTGCCTGTCGTGTCTGATCCTGCTGCATCCGCTCAAGAATAGCAATGAGAGCGGGGTCTGTCTGCGGAGCAGGTGGAGCAGAACTGGAGCTACCGGCCTCTGCATCGTGTCTGCGTGGAGGCATCTGAGGTATAGGCTGGTAGTCGTCGTCAGAGCTGTCACTGTACTCGCTCACCTCCTGCTGTGCCTCTAGCTCCTCCTCCTCAGTGGCTGCAATCCCTCTGATGATCTCATCTTGCTGAGCTGCGGACTCTGGCACGTCGGGACGACGGCTAGGCTATCTGGGTGCCTGAGGAGTGGTGTGTCTGATCCTCTATGACAGGTTGTAAGCTAGGAACTTTGTGGTGGCACCTGTATACTCATCCATCATACCAGGGGGCTTATCAAGCACTACTCTGCGGATAAGAAACATGATCCAGTGCGCATAAGGAAGCTGCCTGCGACCCTTGAATCCCTCAGCTATAGTGTCCTCCATCTCTGAAAGAAGGAGGTCCCAGATATCAAATACTGTCTGCTGCATCAGGGCATTAAGAAGCCAGAGCTGTAAGCGAGTCAGGCCCTCTCTATATCCCAACCTGGGAAGCAGTATCCTCCTGATAATAGCCTCTAGCACTCTCGCTGTGGGAGTCAAGTCACTGGGGTTCCTCCTCGACCCCTCTCCAAAAGGCTCCTTGAAGCAATGTCGCACTAAATCTGTAGGAGGCACCAAACCTCCGTGAGGACGCCTGGGAGGCTCCTGCTGTCCATAACAGACCTCATGTATCTTGACAGGCTGCTCCTGTAGCCTCAGTATCTCTCTGACCCTGCCACTCGTCACCCTGTAGTCTTTGCCTCTGAAAGCAAAGTGAATAAACCTATGATGTGGATCGATGAAGAGTGAAGCATAGAACTGACGAACCCAAGATGGTACATATATCCCGTCCGTCCAATCAAATCTGTCAGTCCTGGCAAATATGACAAGTATGGCCGAATGCTCTCTCCGGCTGCTGCCACAATAGACTCTATCTGATAGACTCTCTGAGATCTAAACACTGCCCCACTGTTGAGATAAGCATTGTAGAAATCCTCCTGCAGTGGCGTGTAGAAACCCTCAGCTGCTCTCTCATCCCTCCTCGGGGGAAACCAAACCTCAAACTCAACAAAACGCAGCTGCTGAACCTGCCTGGCGGTAGCGGCCCTCAAGTCGAGGTGTACCACTGGAGGTGGACCCTGTGGTCTAGGTGGAGGACGTGATCCCCTCCGTTGTGTCGGCGGCCTTGGCGAGACTGGTACACGGGTCCGTCTAGAGCGGCAAAGCTGGGGTGCCGGCTCTGTCTCCTCGGCCTCCTGGGTCTGCTGAGCCTGCTCGCTCTCTTGGTCTGCTGCACTAGCTCCTGCGCTGCTGACGAACCCTCCTCAATGGCAACCCGTCGTCCTGCAAACGTGGCAGTCCCAGCTGGACTCCTGTGACGACGCTCAACATCCTCAATCGCAGCTCTCAGTGCTGGTGAAACTGGCTGATCTGCAATGACAACTCCGCTGCGGGCACCACCTCTCTCGGCACGCTCTGCGGCCTCTGCAATGTACTTTGCTTTTCTTTGTCTCTGCGTCGGGTACTTCCGCTTCTTGGATGTCACCGCTTGGTTGACTTGCCCTTCGATCTGGTGGGTCAAGCGGCGGGGGGCCTCCGATCATCATCACAGGGCCACCACCAACATTCTTGGTGCGGGCCATCTGAATCGACAAGATGGTGAATCGACGCCGATGAGGATCAACAGACAAATCCC